GCATCCCAGGTTTCCAGTAGCTTGCATCTGCTTGCATCCCAGGTTTCCAGTAGCTTGCATCTGCTTGCATCCCAGCTTTCCAGTAGCTTGCATCTGCTTCCATCCCAGCTTTCCAGTAGCTTGCATCTGCTTCCATCCCAGCTTTCCAGTAGCTTGCATCTGCTTGCATTCCAGGTTTCCAGTAGGTTGTGTGTCAGTTTTTCAGCAGCTAGCATGTCCAGTTTGTAGTTTGTGCATTTTTGTCTTCTACCTGTTGGGTATAAGTATGTGGGTGGGTTGTCAGTGTTAGCATGACTTGATTGTCTGAGTATGCAGCTTTTTTTCTCATTCTTACATTATGTGAAGGTTTTGCTTAACATGTTTGCATGTAATTCTGGGTAATATGCAACCTTATTTCACTCAAGATGTTATAAATTCTTTGGTAAACCCAAAAAATGAACTTCTGCTTGTTGATCTAGACCAGTGTGTAGCACGTTCCAAAGTTGCAGATGAGATCTTGTGGCAGTAATGATAGCAGAACATTTGGAGCATTTTTAGAGAGCTATAACTTTGATGGTGTATTTGAAAGCGACCCATTACCGGTTCCTTGCTGCATTCTTTGGACAGGTTTTTTTATAATATCTTTGTGTCTTCAGCTGCTGACTTAAACCTCTTCCCTTGTCAGGTTATTTAGGCCAGGTTAGTACAGCACCTTGTAAACAATTCACTTCAACCTATGCCTATTCTCTGAAGACCACTGGTTTACCATATATGCTAACTGAGGTAAAACTACCAATAATCTTAGACAAATATATGATATTCTCTTTTTTTTTTTCTTTCTCCTCTTTAGACCAAAGTTGTTCAGAGGAACAGACAAGATGGAGCTGCTGAAGAAGTAGGAAATATTTCCTTTTCCAAATGACTAGTTTTAATGCTTCCTTTGGTTTCTTGCATTTCTCTCTCACTCACATCCATGAAGTGACTCAATGTTGTTCTCCACCAGACAGATTTTTTTTCAGTCTGTGTTTCAGTCACCTGACTCCCACCCTCCTCCTCCCTGAAAACAACCTTTGTTCCTCCCATCATACACTTTTGTCTCCAGAGTGTCTGCTCAGCTCCCAACTGAGGCTATTGTTGTCAGTGTGTTTATTTTGTTCCTCTTCGGCCCTACTGACATGAAACCCACCCCCACCATCATACATGTTTGTGCGTGCCCATGAACATGGGAAGATGAGAAGATTAGCCTCTAATGTGCTCAGACTTGTTTTTCCACTTCTTATTTTTCAGCTGCTCCATGGAAGCTTTTGATCCTTTTTTTTTTACTTCTGCAAAACTGCACAGATCAGCCTACACAGTTAAATCATGATAACTCACACTTCCTCATTCTATTGGCACAAAAAACTATAAAAAGTGAAACCAAGGAACAATGATTGTTCATGTGTTGATTTGGACATTCATAACTGTCTGCCTCACAAGCACCTATTGGTTCTATATAGATTTTTGTCTATGTAGCGTTTATTTGCTTTTAAAAGTAAGGAGTGTTTTACAATTTTAAAATTGAATTTCTGTTTTCTTAGAATGAAGAACCACAAAGGTCTTTATTTGACCGGCTGGAGGATTTCCGCATTGATCCCTCACAGCCTGAAGACAGTCAGGTGGGTTTTCTGAGGCACAATATGTTCATGGCTCTGGTTGCCCCTGTGCCAGGTTGCATTTTGTGCTTCTTTCATCCCAAACATCATCCTTTTAATCCCAGTAAACATACCATTCCCACCATTGTAATTAGCTGTATCCATTTATTTTTATCAGCTTTTATAAAGTATAACCTAAAAAGTATGACCTAAATTTATAGACCCTCCAAATGATGCTCAAACCTTTGTGATATTCTGTGTGTGGGTTGGTTTGTATGTTAATCGAATGGTTTCCTTTTTAGGATGTGGAGGATCTCATGGACTGGTGGAACACGGTTGAATGTAAGAGATTTTATTTCTCTGAAATAGGAAAAATGTTTGTTTTGAATACTCCAGTGTTGTTTTTATATAAGAACCACTTGAGTAAAATCATATTACTTCCAATAACTATAATTAACAGTGTCCAATCTTAGTAAAGTGTATTTCAGCGTTAGCAAGCAATGCCCTCTTCCTGAAAGTCTTCATAATTTAGGGGAGAAAAAAAGAAACTTTTAATAAAAAATGTTCTCACCAATGCTTACCAAGGTCATTGAATGCCTCTGGGATAGACTGGAACAAAAGGTTGACCTCGCTAATGTTCACTTTGACTACTGGGATGTATGCATGGTCGTCATAGCAACACATGGGTATACTGTTAGCCTTGTATTTAAGGCTGCAACTAAGAATTATTTTGCTAATCAATTAATCTGTTTGATTTTCTTCTCCCAATTAATTATCAGATATCAAAAGGTTCCTTAAAGAAGATTTTTTTTTTTTTTTACTGAATTAAACCAGATCAAACTAAAACTTTTCCACTTGTGGAGTTCTGAATAGAGCATATTGCCATTTTTAAATCTTAAATGCAAAACATTGATACATTTTTACAGTTTTCTTGTAATTCCTGCTCTAAGTGGGTCTTTCTGTCAGCTAAAGGCTTATTTTACAGTCTCTATATTCCAGTTGATGATTAATCGATTACTGGATTAGTTGGATTTTTTTTTTCCAATAACTGATTAATCTGATTAATTGTTTCAGCCCTAGTTGTGTTGCTAATGAACGGATTCATAACATTACTGTTAATACTTTGTTGTTGTTTTCCGTTTTAGCCTGGGAGGATACGCCTCAAGATGATGACATGACTGAAAAGGAAGAGGCCAAGTAGGTTCTATCACAAATTGACATCTATCAATCCATCTTGAGCTTTTTAAATCTCATACACTACACTAAACCGTTTTTCTTTATCTTGCATAAACTCTATAAACATGCAAAGGTGTCATATCATATATCATAGTGAAGTTTTAAAAAATCTCACATTTATTAACTAGTTAAGTGGTTCAGTGTGTCGTAGCATCTTGTTCTTTTCCTATTGGTCAATGGTGGGATTTTGCTCATATGTTTCCCAGTATTTGACATCCTTTTCATCTTACCCATCAACCTAACTGCTGCATATCAGATTAATTCCCTTTGCAGTGAAATACTTTGTGGATGTATATAGTTAAATTATGGTAAAATGCTGGTATATACTGTTTGATTTAATGGTTTCTCAATTCAGTTTATTTCTATAGC